ATAAGAATAAAATATATGCTTATACATTTTGTACATATTATTTATTCAAGCACTGGACAATTTCTTCAGCAATATATTGCCTGAGATATTCTTGTCAGCTGCAATCATTGCGTTTGTTCCTGTAGCCATCGCCCCTCTGGCCACACAGCAATCAAGCTGCCTTTGTGAGATCTGGAATGCGATATTGATCAAATAATAAATCTATCACCACCAGTTCCATGCAATTTTGGCATAACGCGAAACAAATGTTAAATTATTGAATAAAAGGCCCTTCACATTGATTTATAAAAAAAAACTAAATCAGCGAATGTTTATCACATTTCAAAATGCTGGCCATTAGTAAAATACCTATAACGTATTAACACTTGGACACAAACAATATTATTTTACATTACAGCCAAAACATTTCCAAAACCATGAAGACATTTTAAATATAAATACCTGTGCTCTAATGTAACAATTACAGAGCAATGCCTTGACATGGTCTGTTTTTATAATACAACATGCATTATCATGTGCTAATTACCTTGTTAAACATCGCTCCCCTGCGTATTACATAGCTTATTCATGGACACGTGCTATCTATACTATCTGTAATGAGATATGAACCTAAGCTCACGCCCGGGCAACACTGCGAATAGAATTTGGCATAAAAAATGGACATCTCCATAAGAATGTGTTAAACAAACACATTAGGAGCAGCCCTGCAACTGCTTGTTCACACTACCACTGCTGGTGGAAGGGCTTCCTCGAGAGGGAGGTTTGGAAGGCCCCATTAGAGGGTATTTGGCCTCCTCTTCCATGCTTGCCAGTCGTATCAGAAGACGTTGGATAACCACACTTTATCCTCCCACGTGAGACCTGCCAATCCACTAACTGTGGCAAACGCATTCAGACCATTAAACATTACGCTATTTGTTTTACTTTTCAACTATTTGTAATTTTACCAGGTAAGGCCCACCGAGCTAAAAAGCTCTTTTTCAGAATCCACCTGGCCACAAATGATAGCTCAACGAAGTGGCTTATCATGTGGAAATTTATAGCAGCCATATACTCTCAGCACATGTTTATAAATGTGCGGGGAAAAACCGGAGGACCCGGAGAAAAATCCACACTACCACGGGGAGAACATGCAGACTCCAAATATACAGGAATTAGGGTTGCGATCGAATCCACGACCTCCTGCATACCAGGCGAGGTAGTTAACATCTCGCCACCATGGTGAGTTAACGTGTTGCCACCGTGACGAGATGTTAATTGCGTGGATAGAGGCGGTAGGGGATTAAAGAAGTTAGCACCTTTGTTTCAACTACCGTGCCCAGAAGATGGAACCGGCAACCTCTGGAAGTCCAGTGTGCCATCCATCACACCACGGCAGCATAAATGAAAACATTCAAAGGCAATAAAGACAAGCAAAGTGTTCTTTACTTTTCCATTTCTCCGCATACAAACAGTAATTGCTTCCTACTTAGCCTCTCCACCCTCGAGTGAGTCTCTCCCCGGTTAGTGCAGCCTGAAATAAGTTTGCGACTCACCATTTGCCAGTGCTGGCAAGGCAAAAGTGCATTCTGGGAGCATGCAAAACTGCTCTCAATCGGGTTCCTGCAAACAGCCCTTTCACAATTATTCCTTTGCCCTGACATTTGCCCTAAGCTGGCACTCGGTGCTCGTTTGTTTTAGAAATCTTCAGACGCGCTACCGGCAGTGGCAGGCAAATTTCCATTTGATTTAGTATCGTAGATGTTCTAATGGCAGTAATTAAAAAGCTCATTAATTGCAAATTATTTCTTGTAATGGCAGTTTCTTCCAGAAGGGTTTCAATTCCTTAAGCAATTAGACAATTTGCAAATCTGTTTAAAGTGCATTGCCTGGAATGGTTAAATAAAAAATATAGACCTAACTGACCCAACATTAATGTTGCTAGTTTAAACAATTTTAATCTTAAAAATTGCATTTTACAGATGTGTTTGGAAACTCAGGCATTTCGAATAAAATTTAATTAGGCTAAAGTTGCTGTGTGATTAAAACACATTTTCTATTTTTTGAAAAGTCACAATTTATGTGCAGACAAATTAAACCAATCGGAATACACCACATATAGACAACAATAGACTACATGCACTCTATAGTCCACATATACACTCAATAGACCAAATATACACTGAATAGACCACATGAACACTCAATAGACCACATATACACAACAATAGACCACATCTACACTCAATAGACCACATACATACCAAAGGAAACTATATGTATTAATCCTTTATGAATGTATACCTCCATGCTAAATGCAAACGCTACATACAATGTCAAGTGGCCTAGAAGAGTAGCTCCAATTACATAACTACGACATTGCATTTCGCGAGCCAAATAGCAGCTGATTATTACTTCTGCCATGGTGACCATAACGACTTTATTCCCTGTGGCCGGCATTACCGAAAACTCAAAGTGGCTCCCTTCGCTCGAGCAAGGAGCTTTCACCGCACTGTCTAAATTTGTAGTCACGCTGCTGCCTGCCCCCCCGAGCACTGACGGAGCCAAAAGGTGACCACTTTACCCAGGCCTCAAATCAAGTTCTCGACAATGATGCTCACCTTTGCCATTTGCGCGCGGGGTCACCACATTCAATGATGAGAAACAGCATTCGAAGGAATACCAAATAGCGCTCTGTCATTCGGCACCGTGGACTCAATGCAGAAGAGCTGCTGTGGAGTGTTATTCGGAGGAAATCTCTCAATCATTTTTTTTTCTTGAGCCGAGTCAAACCATGGTCAAAAATGTGCCGTATGTAACATGTTCGTGACAGTGTAAACATTTAAATTGACACGCAGACTGATGCCATTTAAAAACCACGCACGTCTAGCGTGGTCCTGAAGGAGTTATATGTCAGCTGGTGTTCAGAGATCGCCGAGAAGACTTTCACAGTCTCTCTGTCCACAACCAATCACGGTTAAAAGTGGTCTGGAAGCGAGATAAATGTTTGCCGAGAGACGTGCCGGGCAAGGGATTTTTTTGCGCGTCAACCATGCTGTCCCCCTCCCGGGCCAGCGTTTCGCGACCGGTTGTCAGCGTCTCGTAGAACGGGGATTGCGAGTCCCCTGGTGACGAACGCATTGACCGTCAAAGCAGCCTCAGTGGCGAGACGCTAGATGCACTCCGCTGAATTGCGAGGGCACCCGTCGCCCTTTTTTGTCTGCCGCGACGCGACGGGTGTCGCGGTCTGACTCGAGCACGCCGCACGCGCGCAAAGTGTCGGCGTGCTTTATCTACGGACAGCGAGTCCCAAACGGAGGCCCCCCCCCCCCCCCCCGCGGGACTCGCATCGCGATGCGTGCTCAGGGTCTGCGCGGAGGGGGCGACGCATTGCGCACGTGTTTCTGATGCTGCAAATAATGGCAGAGGAAGAAAAAAAAATTTCACGCGCTTTATTCCAACAGCGTAAATACCAAGCGCTGACTGAGATTAATTTCCTTCTTACTAAGCCGCACAAGCTCTCGCACAAATGGGTTCCGTGCCCATGTGCAAAGGCAATTGGTTTTCATTCCTTATATTTTGAATCAAGGCACTGTGCACTTTGAGCATCAATATAAATAGTATAAACGACTAGAATGATAGTTATTTATTCATCACTTTAAGCAATAAGGCCCTTTTTTTGACAGGGAAAACTCAAGGGGTTTTTAAGAGGGCTGCACATTGGCTTGCTTGGTCAGTTCCATGTTATGAGCATCTGGTACATAGTGGGAAACTGGATTACCTGAAGAAAACCCACACATATGCTGGGGGTAAACACTCCAAGCTCCATACAGATAGATTAAAATATCCTTTGCTCCACTGCTATCTCTGCCATAACTCACACTCGGCAATTTGCATGCAGTTTGCCATCCAAATACGAGCCAGGCACCAAGCCTGCTTCACTTCCAAGATCGGATGAGATCATGTGCATTCAGAGTGATTTGGTCATCAACTGAGTAAGTCACCTTGAATAAGCTACTTCCCACAAACCCTGTATATAATGTTCCTTGTCTTGGCCACGTGCAATGTAACAGCTACATTTCTTTGTGTGTACGCTTCATATTTAGCATGCAAGGCATTTTTGTTAAGCAGGTGATGTCACGACCTTAACATGGTTAAGGTCGAAGATGCAGGGATACGTTGACTTTTTAATTAATGTACAAATTTGCTATCGTGGTGCATTAAGGTGAATCACCGGGTATACAGACAGCCTATTAACACACAACATTGCCACCTTCTTACTAATAGGGTCTAGTTTTAATCAAACCCACTAGTTGTACGCTCAGGCAATTAATCCACAGATGTGATGAGTAATTTGCCGCATTTTCACATACCGTGAAGCACCAATTAGAAGCACTAACATTTAATGCTTATATTATGACATAGTAATCAGACTACCAGAAGGTCCATACCAGGTCAAACCACTCTAGGCTAACTCACATACTGCTAATTAAGAATCCTGTGCTGATCCTGTGCTTGCTTGTGCTTGTGTCATTTAAGTGAAGCATAACATATTCATGAAGCACTAAATCAAGGTGGTTGGGTGGCTAAGAGGTCAGAGCAGGAGGTCAACCGACACCGATGAGGTCCTGGGTTCATATACAGGTAGCAATCTTACATTTAACGACAGCTATCAAATGTAGTGATTTGACGGTCTAACATCACCAATGATAGCACCAACAAATAACGTTAGATTCCAACTTGGAGTATAACATATATATACCAGTTTGACTGCCATGGGATAATAATTTAGCATGAGAAAGGATTACAAAATGTAAAACATCTCAGAACAAGCTCTTTAAATTATGCTTCTGTGGGCCATTCTCTTCCACAAAAGCATGCAATGTTCTGCGAGAGTTCCAAAAGGGGTACCCTAATGTCATGATGTGATGCCGGTGGCACAAGTTGAACAATAATGGGCAAAAAAAACCCCACCAATATTGACAGAATCCAAATAAATTGAATCCAGAAAAAAAACCAACCTGGATAAAATCTGGTGAGACCTGTGGCACTTCCAAACACCTGCCACAGCAGAGTGGGGTCCTCTTCCTTGTTCAGCTTGAACACCTCATCGAGCCCCGCCGTCCAGTTCAGCTCGTTCAGAATGATCGTGGCTGCAAACAAAAAATAAATGTGAATGCGTCAGGTCATGGGTCACTGACAAGGTTTTCGAGGCCTCCCCTGGGGGGACACCGCTGATGGAGATTTCAGTCACATCGAATGCCTTGCTGCTCCGCCGACTGACTCCATGCATCACTCGGAGGGGGTCGTCACAAATGTCACACGTTCTTCCTTACAGGCGGCAAATGGTTTACGCACCCCCCCCCCCCCCTTCTTTGCAGAACGTACATTTCCGTCTGGAAACGCTTCGCATGCATCTCTGAACACCCCATTTGCAGCGTGGTCCTGGTGGCAAACAGACACTCACCATGCTGCCGGAGATAAAGTTGTGGCTGAGCAGAAGCGGATCTAGGCAGGAGGGCGCGCTGCATGGCGACAGGGCCACTTCAAAAAACACCCCTTCGCAAAAAAAAAAACCTCGCTGTTTCCGCAGCTAATTACAGGCGACACACGGCTCTGTCAGAACTGCCACGGGGCACACGTGTGTAAATACTGATTAAGAAGCATTGGGTTTACACGGAGACACCCCCACTGTGCGGAAACTTAACATTGCTTTGAAAAGAAGGATAAAAAAACACATTAATGAACAACAAAAACACAAACTACAAATTGTGAAAGTTGAGCGTGCATTAAAACCCATTGATGTAGGGTGGCAGCGTTCATAAATAAAACAAATCTATAATTAAAATGCATCACGACACATTTTGGACCTTTTATTGTTTGTATTTACCACATTAACTTATTGAGTAAACAGTTGATATCAAAAACTCTAACAGCTGACATGCACGTGCACTGAAGGGTGCTTATTTAACACAAATGGACCTCTGTAGACCTTTGTAGATACATTATATGACATTTATATCACTCTGAAGTAGCATAGGTGCTAACTGCACATATATGATATCGAATCATTTGTCCATTTAAATGTGTGGAACATTAAAACAACAACTTTTACGTGACAGCATGCCACAATTTATCCATTGTAAAGATAATTACGGTAGCATTACACAACGCCGACAAATAAACCTTGCACAGCTCACTTAAGATTTGTAAGTGCTTCAAACTCTATAGAGTTTTTTGCGTAACAAAATCAATTTGCGGGTTGTCCGTTTCAAAACCATACAAGTTTTGTAGCTGGCTTGGTGTGTGGCTCAGAGGTCAGAGCTCCAAGACAGCGATGATGACACCGTGGATTAAAATCTAGCATTCAGCCACCCGTGATTAAACTGAGTTGATGGTCTCAGTTTGGTCATCAATGACTGCGCAAAAAAAAAAAACGTGATGATGGGTACAAACTGAGTAATCATTGGAAAGATGTTATTAACCATGCATAAAAGATTTAACTACACATATTTGTACCATCTTATTTGACAGGTACTTTTCTACTTTACCGAGTGTTGACATCCCCAGCGTTTAACAGTACTGCTTTTTTGTATTTGGATTCTCAACCAACACCGGTTTAGGTCGAGGTACACCGATTGTTCTCTTGTACATTGACGACGTTGACCAATTTCTCTTGTAGCCCCGCCCACCACCCCCACGTGACATTCCCTGGTTACCACATTCAGATAAGCCCCTCCCCCCTTGACTTGTATTTAAGGGCTGGTCTCTTGGAATTTTGCCTCACTTGATGCAGTAATTTTAGCTGTGACGGTCCCACCTGATGACGGAGACTTTTTGTGTTGCCTCCGAAACGTCGTGATTTATTATTTTGTTTCTATTATTACTTTTAGTAATTTTATTTTTTACCTACGTGACTTTACCGAAAAAAAAACCTAAGAGTATGAATCCTTGCAGTCACTAAAGCGTCAAATCTAGAATGCCTTTTTGTGCACAAACTTTGGCTAAATCCTAGTTCTGAGAATTAAAAAGGAATGCCACTTTAATGGTCATGTACTTAACATTTCTCTGTAGCAGGACATGTGGAAAAGTGTCCCCCACCCTCTTATGTTAGAATAGAAAAAAAACATTGCTTGATGGAATATCAGTCATAATATGTACTATGTGATACGATAGAATCTGGACATTATACGCACAGTTCTGATACAAGAAACACATCCTTATATAATAATGGTACAACCACACTATGCATACTTGCACACCGGGCCTTGTTTCCAAGGGGTGAGCTTATTTATATCTGGCTACTACTGTGCCTGCTTCCACGCCCCATTCTCTAGAGTTTCAAATGGAGCTTTCGTCTCAGGATATGACACCGATTGCACAAGTGGAATAAACATGGGAGGGGAAAGTCTAAAGATACAAAAATAAATACAAGCATCACGCCAGAGATGAGCTTTCTATTAAAACTGGAAGTAATCTACAGCGATATACGTCATATACAATTGCCATTATTTTGCTCGCTTTTCAACATTTCAGTAGTTTGCTGAAACACCAAATTAAATGGCATATTTTCCTACGTTACAACTTCATCTGATTGGCTTTTTCAGGTGGCGGAGGGTAAAGCTGCATTATACCTTTATGATTAATTAACAAAATCAAATAAATGTTAATAATCTTACAGTATCTTAGACATGTAGGCTGCCGTGACTGATTGTCACTATTTTACCAATATAAATTCAGAGGCATGTTGTTACCATGAAAAAAAATGCTTTATACCTTGGATCGTAATACCTTATTTAATTTGTGCATGGTGTACATCAATAACTAGACGACAGTGCACTACATTACAAGTAAATATATGTATTAAAATATTTTTAGAAAAATATCGTACAATAGTGGCTGCAATTGTTAAGGGATACTTTGCACTTATAGTGAGCGCTATGGTGGTGAGATGTTAACTACCTCGTCTGATATACAGGAGGTTGTGGGTTCGATCCCGACCCTGATGCCGCTTGTATATTTGGACTTTGGATATTCTCCCCGTGGTCGCGGAGTTTTCTCGGCGTCCTCCGGTTTTCCCCTCCACATTCAGAATAAAGCGTTTATAGATTATTTGACTGCTACAAATGTCCACGTGATAATAAGCCACTTCGTTGAGCTATCATTTGTCGCCAGGTCGCTTTTGAAAAAGATCTATGAAGCTCAGTGGACCTTACATGGTAAAAAAAAAAACTTTAATAGTTTTAAAGCATTTCACCCAGTCACCTTGCTATTCTTGACCATTGTTTGGGATCTCAATGGGTACTCAATTCAGATCAAGTGGATCGGTGAGAGATCCTCATAATGATGTTATTGGGACTAGGGTCAATGGAATGGAACAAAAGGTCCCCAGGCACTACACCACTAGTGGATCAAACGCACACAAATGGCTTTTAAAGAACCCCGCCTGTGCACACAATGAAAATCCCCTGCGTCATAATTAATTGTCTACGTGTTCAGGGAATTGCAGGTTAAGTGGTTGATAAGAGGCGGAGGAAACACAATCGCACAGCAGCTGGAGCCAGGCTTTAGATCGCAAAGATAAATATGAAGCAGAGTCCAAGGTGGACAGGCAGACAATAGGTACACAGGGAGTGAAAGGCAGCGAGGCAGACAGACAAATTGTCAGGAAAGGGAGGCATACACGAGGCAGTCAGCAAAAAAAATTGCAGACAGAGAGACACATTTGGCTGTAAAAAAAGAAAAATACGGTTTAAAAAAAAACCTGCTGGTAACTGCAAAATAATTTAATGTTGGGATGGAATCTTGCAATACATCACATGGCAAGACAAGGCCTGTAATTGGAGTTAATCGTCCATACCTACTAACCCAGTGAGCGCTAGGGGAAGACAAGTACTCTTACCTAATTGCACATTAAACATTCATTTCATTTCCTTATAATTCACACGCTGACCTTCTTGCCATAGCAGCCTCTATTGTTGAACTTTTTTTTACTGTGAGCTATATTCATGGTAAAACTTAGGGTACAATTATTTCAATGTGACAAGTGCAATGCAAATTACGTGACATATTCACGTGTGAATGTCCTCATAATGCATTGGCAGAGTAGAAGAGAAAACGATAATCCAAACATAGAGACGGTGATGTATTTCCCCCAAAATGCAAATGTATTCATGGTCGCTAATTTACCTATTCATCACATTCACTAACTGTTAGGTAACATAAGGTGGTTATAAATACATTATTCAATTAACAAGATACTTTCAAAATTAGTGAAGCAAACACAGCTAGTGTGAGTGCTTAGAAACCCATCAGAAATGTGGATTCTAAAACAGAATGCTTGTACTCGATATCTATATAAAACAAGCTACATGCTTTTATTAATGAGGGCTAATTGGCATGGCTGCATTTGTGTTTGATGCATTTTGCACAAAGGAATAATTTCCTTATATGATTTTGTGATTCGCTGTAACATCTAATGGAATAAGAGCTTATACTTTCTAGAGTACATTGCGTGGGCTCATGAAAAGTGTCTGGAAGTGCAGACAGTAAAATCAAAGAGGTTTGTAAACAACTCCAGGCACGCCAAAGATGGTTGATTACAGCGCCGTATTAATAACACTCAGCAACGAGAAATGTTGGGAAGACAACCGAAAAAAAAACCCGATACAAATCAGGGACAAACAGTTTTAAAGCGCAATTAGTCAACGATTTAACAAACAAGTACACGCACTCTGGTCACGGAATAATAAATAACACGTGCAATGGAGTTGTGCAAGTGGTGAAATTGGCCTCATATCACTCTGAATAATTTGTGCCGCTCTCTGATATTTAACGCACAAAGCAAAGTATGTCGCGCAGTGATCCGATGCACGTTTTGGCCGCATAGAGGTCACTGAACAATGGTTGCATACCAATCGATTTGCCTGAAGGTGATTCCGAAGTTTTGTAGCAACAAAGAGATGTTGTGACTCTGTGTTACATCTTCGTATTAATGACAGATTGTCACCTCCATTCGCTCTCCAACCAATTCCCCCCTCCACGTCAACGATGCCCATTCCCATGGCGCTCAAGATCCTGATATTAAGCTTTCACTCCATTGTGCCTTGAAAAAAAAAATCATGTTACAGAGCTTGCACATTTTTTGTGACCT